TGTTTCGATCTCACAAGTTGTTTATAAACGTTAGTTTTCCTATTTCAAACCTTGAACACCTTTTAAATATTTAGCATCTTGTATTCATTTTTATCCCAACTAAATCGTATTATGAACAATTACAAGCCATTTACTCAGACTGTGGAGAATTTACATAGAACAGCCGAAGTTCGATCTTGAATGTAGCCATGTCTTTTCGATAACACAACTGAATCATCAGAGAGAGTATGGCACGAGGGAGAAACAGTGGCTCCTGGTGGATCCCGAGATCGTTAGAATCCACCAGGATTCATCAGAACTCACTATGATCTATCAACATAGATGAATGTTCTGCGTATCCATCCAAGCAAGGAAATCAACGAGATTCATAAAATAAGAATGTATAATTCAAAATATGTTCTTGATGAATCACGGTGATCATACTCTGTCATTTTAACCACTCTGACTAGTCTATTTTACAAAGGCAAAAAAAAGAGTCCTGATACATCCTAGAATTTGTTGAAATTCCAGCTGATCCATCAGGATATATGATAACAAACTAAAAAGACGAAGATTTGACTCTAAGATTTCTGAAAACCAACGAAGAAGAAATCTTGGAAACTGAGACTGTGATGGACGGCCATAAATTTTGGAATATTTCGATAAATGTTGCAGTTTATGTGATCGAATAGGATCTATCAATATTAAGGTTTTCCATAATCGTTTCAGATTATTATAAAACTTATTGACTTTGGCTGAGTTCTTGTGGATTCCAATAGATTGTAATACATAGTGTTGAATTTTCTGTAGAGAAAAATTTCGATGTTTTCGAGCTCAATCTCTGACATATGCGACAAGGGTTCTGCACAGATTCATTGTTTTTTTTCTTGAGGAAACAAGAAAATCTGAAAAAAGTATGTATCTTCAAAATTTTACGATACTAACAAAATTTCAATTTGAGTTCAATCAATATCGTAAACAGTTTGTTACTATTTTCTAATCACAAATCATTCAGAAAACCGATAAATCTTGAAAAAATCATGTAGCCGCGAAATTTCAAAATCTGGACAAGATTCATAACATGATCCTGAGCAGTTTACCAAAACAATTTAAACAAGGAATATGTTAATAGAACAGTACATCGATAGAAAAACGTGCAGGCACAAAATAAAAACAATTTTTGTTAGAATTAAAAATAGTTCATACATGCATTTTGAGCCAGTTCTCGTTGATTTTAATTTTTTAATTGCACCTCGCATGATTCCGGTGCGATTCTTTAGGAATGTTATCCGATTTCTGATCAGAATCTCTGCAAAATTCTCTGAATAGAAAAGAGAAGAAATGAACGCATAGAGTATCAGTCTCTAAATTAAGTCATTGATATCTTAAATTCTTCCTGAACTATTAACTTGTATTTAAACTTTATGTAAATATACATTATTCGAAGAAAAATTTGAAAAGTCAATATTAAACTTCATATATTCATAACTTATTATGAAATTCAACTAGTACTAATCTAATTTTTTTAATACGAATAGACTGAATCCAATACAAGTCTTACTGACGGGCTCACCTCTTACTAAAATGTTTTTTTTCAAGAAAAAGTTAATGAAACACTTAAAATAATACTAAAATCTCCATTTTCTTGAGTTTTCAAGTTAAAATCAAAAAAATAACTGGATTCCATGCCATGAATATCACATCATATTGAATATAAATCTTCTAAGATTCTATCCGATTTCTTTCATTCATTTACATGGAGAGGTGAAGGTATATTAGAATAAAATTCAGGTATGTTCTTGAACTCTCAGATTCCTTTCAGAGTTGAAACAAAAAACATAATAAAATCTTGAGTAAATTTTCCGTTTGTTATTTGTTGAAATTTAAAGATCTGAAAATCTGCAAAGGATCTTAAATACGAACTGATTATAATTTTGATTGAACCATTTCATTATTTTTTTTCCAAACTCCTAAACTAGATTCATTAATCTTGTTAGAATCATCAAGAGTAACCTTTGAGCAAACTCTTAATCAAAATAGTAAACATTTTCGTTCAACCTGGATATTTTCTGTGAAAGATTCTGACCATCCTTGACCTTCTCTAGGAAAAATCCGAAATGTAATTGTCTCTTAAGCGATCTGAAGAAAATCCTGAAAACGTTTAGAAGAGATATTCATAACAGGAGCGCATAAGAAAATACGATAGGATCCACCAGTTGAGGATTCTCCTGGCTCTTGTATTATTCTTTGGATGTAGGTGGGTATAGATATAGATGAGATGAATACTAAAACTCACATCCCCATTCACACATCCTAGTCTGACGAGCTGATTATCTTCGTCCAATAACTAGATGATCACTCGTCATCTAATCGGAGTGTGAGTGTGAAGTGTTGGTTTTAGTCTTCATCTCACCTACACTCACACTTACAATCACATCTCCAATTATTCAAAGATTGTGCTCACATCTTCTATTGACGTAACCATATTTCTTATCTCGAACGATTGGTTAATTTTTTATTTAGAGTTATGCACCTTCTGATACATCAGTGTTAAACATAACAGTTGATCTGAGCCAAGTTAATGATGTCTCTTTCAATACAGACAAAGGACTCAATGATCAGTTGGTTTTCTTCATGAAATATAAAGATTTGTTATCATATTTGATAAATTTATATTTTGATTTCGTCTAGAACCAGTCAAAATTCAACATTGCGAAGAGTGCTGATCGGCTTCTTTTTAATTCTACTAATTGGTGGAGTAATTGCAGCAATTGT